TAATTATTTTTTGCTTTTTTAAATAAACCACACATCATATTTTATCCTGGACTTACCCAAAATCTGATTTCTTTTTCTATATTCTTGCTATGATCTTTTCAAAGATTATTTCGCCACAATCTACGTTGGTGGCGCGTGTTGCAAAGTGGGACGTTTTAATTCCAAGAGGCCGATTGGAGTTTTACAAGATTACAATGCATAATTTATACCCTTTTTGATCTAAGATAATGCTAAACCATGCTAAAGATTGGAATGTACACTGGCTCTTAAAGTGTGTTAAGAGGCACACAGATGTGATAAGACCTGATTATTATTACTGATTAAAAGAGTCTTATTCAACATGTAAAAAGGCAACACAATTTGGCGTGTTTCTGACACGGTGAACATTCTTTGAATTGCTAACCATCTCTGTGTATCATTCCTCTTTTCAAACATTGTGTCCACTAATTTATCATTGGATGTACAATTTTGACTTACAACTTTATGATTTGGGTTTTTTCAGACGGATTTATCCATCTCCTCCGTGTTCAGCCAGGACAGCGAGAACAGTGGATGGTTCCTACTGCAGCCACCCAGCACGGTCAGCTTTCCATCTTCAATCCCTGCTCACTGCTTTTTCATGATGTGGTTTCTCTTTTTAGACAGAACTTGTTTCTCTTTTAATTCTGCCAGTTTCCTTGTTGTTTAATGGGATCCATTCTGATGGTCAGTTACGAACTTAAACATTCTTGTTATTTCGACATAGCAACTAGCTTCCTCCTTGACATGGTAATTGTCTTCTTAAAACAAATGCTTCTATGCTTCAACCCGTCATTTATAATTACTTAATGTTAAACTTTTTTTTTATTGTCACACTGGAATTTAAAGTAACTTGCTGCTCCATTTATGTGCGCTGATTTCCTCCTTATAACCTAAGTTTATTTTACTTATAACTTTGGATACCTACTTACAATTATTAAAGGTTTACGAATAGTTTGTAAATTCATCTATAAAATTAGGTTGTGAACACTTTATAAATATAAAAGCTTTTATAAGATACACTGAGATAGAACAGGGCAACTGTGACCGGAGGTTCTTGCACAATTAGTGAGCACATTTAAACTGTACTGGCTAAGCCTTATATTCGGCTACTTAGCTTACTTTGTCTTCCTTCATCCAGCCAAGCATTCCTTGGTATCTGTTTGTTCAACGTTGGTTGATTCTCTGGCAAAGTAAGCCAGATAGTAAGGAGCTTAATCATCTGTGCAATAGTGAGCCTGTGTTGATGTATGAAAATTGTGTTAGAAACTGGTTGTCATAAATGGTTCTTAATGATTATAAAGTGTTTACAACCTAATTCATAACATAATTGTAAACCCTTTATGAATCCTTTATAAGGGTATTCTTATTGTAAAGTGGTAACATAACTTTTACTATGACCTTGTTGGATTTTCTTTTTTAAACAACTCGTTATTTGACTTATTTCTCCTAAAAATACAAACATTTTGAAGCCAACTGAGCAGAAACTCATGTTGCCTGTTTATTTTCTTACAGATTCCAGCAGCAAACCATCGCTCATTTCCAGTTTGGACTGTTTGTCCAGCATCGTACAGCGGATCAGCACAGACCCTGCTCCGGCCCCCCCAGGCGACAGCGTGGTCCCCCGGGGCCCTGAATCCCCTCAGAGCAGCCCTGCAGGCTCCAGTTCCTCTGCTGAGCCCAACAGCATCTACGAGCCGCAATGAACCACACCGAGCTGAGGACTCATCATTTGCAGAAAGCCAAGACAACGTATTCAAGACTTTTTTTCTGCCATTTGAGATTTTCTTCAGTTTTAGCCACGTGAACAAACTGAAGACTGCTGTTTTGATCCATTAATCTCAGAAGGAAAAAGGGAAATTTTCTTCACTTATTCCTGCGTCAGTAATTATGGACCATTTTTATAAATCTGTATATAAGAGATGTTTGTACACCCAAGGACACACACCTCCAAACACACATGTGGCACATACACTCATACAGCCACAAAGGTTGCAGCGATTGTTATGTTTCTATATATTATTCATGAGTGAATGACATTTTAATAAAATTAATATTTATATTCTGTAAAACTATTCAACTGGTCTTTCAGATCTTTCCTGTTGTTTTTAGCTCAGCTTTAATTCTCCTGCTAGTAGCTAACTTGTTTGAACCACTAAAAACAACAGATGAGAGAACTGATGCGTATGTGTGAGTACGTAGAAAAAAGGTCAATGTAAAGTTTTTTGAAAATATACACAAAAAACAACATAGGATAGTAAGTTGAAAATATCAGAAAACAACTATAGTCGAAAAAAAGTCATATTATAGTATGACCAAAATCAGAAAAAACGACATAGTACATTATGATGAAAAAATGTCATAGTATGTTGAAAATATCTGAAAAAAAAAAGTATGGTATGCCGAAAAAACTATATATTACAGCAGTGGTTCTCAACTGGTGGGTCGCGACCCAAAAGTCGGTCGCGGACCCGTTTCGAGTGGGTCGCAGATGTGTGAGTGAAGAAGAAAAAATAGAAAAAAAAATATTTCCTTTTTTTTGGGGGAAAAAAAGTCAAACTTTTATTTTGAAAGCCTGATTTTCTAACGCTCTGCATGCAGTAGGGCAGGCGTTGGACTGGAAGTACCGGAGACCATGAACGGTTTTGAAAACTTCTGTCACGTAGTGACAGTCCCAACGGAGAATAACTTTGCGGTAGAACTATTCTTTATAGTATACTGAGTGGAGCAGCAAGCTGTCAGAACAAAGTGAAAAACAAACAATGGCATCAAATATTATTGATATGTCGGGTAGCAATAGATTTATTTATTTTCTTCTCAAGAGAGTACCAGAATGGGTATTTATATGTTAGTATTTCAAAAATCTCCTAGGGGAGAATCCCCAACAGACCCCCAGTTCTGGGGTTGGGTTTTTCAGCAATTGTGTGGCCTTTTTACTGTTTATACAGTTCAGCTTTGATTCCATCATCCTCATTAAACCTGATTTAACAAGGCATGACTTTAGTTCGTGTGAAGGGATATATGCACTGTACTTTCCAGCTTTAATAATAATGTATGGCTGAAAAGAGTACTATATTACTGCACGATTTTTTTTGAACTAAGATTTGAGTGGTTAAAAATTTTCGAGTCGCGACTAATGCGAGGAAAGTGGGTCGAGGCCTGACCAGCTTTTAGAAAAATGTATTAACGAATATGGCAACAAAAACAATATCGATTAAAAAAGACATATCTATAGTGATATATATAAGTCCGAAAGATTGTCATCCGTATACGTTAGTTGAAATATCAGAAAAAAAAAAAAAAAAACAAATTTTTTGCCCATTGTTGAAAGCTGCCCAAAAAAAGTTATATTATAAGTAAACTCCAAAATATTCCATAGATAAAATGACGTAGTCTAAAAAATGTCCATAAAGTATAATATAGTTTTGTAGAAAAGTTTGGCGTGAAAAGAGCGACATCGAATAAACCTGAATAACTAGTCGAAAATAAACCATTTGTGGTGTACTACTGTATGTCGAAAAGTAATAGTATAACCAGTATGTCGAGAAATATCATAAAATCGACATGTCGAAAGCATTTCAACAAAAAAAGGACATAGTATTTACAAGTCAAAAAATATACTTTTTAAAAGCCGGGCATGGTATGTCTTACATACAGAAATACACATATCTGTCGATAAAAAAGCTCAACAGTCTTGAAATTTCGAAACACATTTAACAGGTCTCCTAACTTAAACTATTTGTAGTTATTATAATAACTCAATAAAATACCATAGATCATTTTATTATATAGGCGCTTTTCACACCACCCCCCCCCCAAAGACGCTTTACAGTAATGAGGGAGGTGTAGACAGTAAGTAAGTAATACGCGTAAAATAAAAAAAAGTTGAAAAGGCAGTCCAACGAGGAAGTGATTGAGAAGGGGGGGGGGGGGCTTATGGGCTATGCAGCAGAGTTGAAAAGATGTGTTTTGAGGGGACTGAAAGACTGTGAGGGACTTCAGAGTCACGAAAGATTCTTCTGGGGCGAGGGAATTTTCCAGAGCAGGAACTTTTTTTTGCCACTTTGAAGAAAGGCTTTTCCTGCTTCCCAAAAAGCTTTTTTTTTTTTTGCAGAGTGGTAAATTGTTTGGGGGAAATGGAAAATTTTTAGGAAGATTTCCCGGCTTTTTTGCGTGGGATTTCTGAAGGGACCCGTGGGGGTTTTTGTTTTTTTTGAATTAAAGGAAAGTCGGAGAAGGTTTTTTTTCGTGGAGGAAATAAGGGGGGGGGGGCAAATGGTTAGGAGTTGCATTTTTGTAAGGTGAGGGACAGAAATTTTTTTTGTAGTTTGGAATTGCGATGGG